TTCTTAAGTATCTAGGTGGTGGGATAAGGGTGTATGATCATTGCAGAGCCCTAGAGGTGTGTGCAGGGGTATGTCCCTGTTTCCTGGCAACTGGTGGCCTGGCCTTTCCCCCCTGCAAGGTGAGAGCTAAAGGGTTGAAGACAAAGAGATCAGGTGACCTCCTGGCCCGGGAAAGGGACAAAGAGGAGGAGGGGCTGGAGAGAGTTTCAGTTTGGGCAGGCTGGGAACATGGAGTGAAGTGCAGACGGGGTTGTCTGGCTCACTGCCCCCCAAAATGGACCCGGCTGAGGGGTCCTGTTCTCTGTACCTACAAGCTCTGTTTTAGACCATGTTCCTGTCATCTAATAAACCTCTGTTTTACTGGCTGGCTGAGAGTCACGTCTGACTGTGAAGTTGGGGTGCAGGACCCTCTGGCTTCCCCAGGACCCTGCCTGGGCGGACTCGCTGTGGGAAGCACACAGAGAGGCAGAGGATGCTGAATGCTCCGAGGTCAGACCCAGGAAGGTGGAAGCCATGTGAGCTTCTTGCCCTTCGGACAGGCTGCTCACAGAGGGGAGACTTCACCCAAGTCCTGACTGGCTTCGTAGGGAGCAGTTCCAGAGCATCACCCCTGGACTCCATGACAAGTATCCTCTGCAAACTTTGCCACCTCACCGTTTACTCCTTGCTCCAGATCATTTAAGAATAAGTTGAATAGGATTGGTCCTAGGACTGACCCTTGGGGAACACCACTAGTTACCCCTCTCCATTCTGAAAATTTACCATTTATTCCTATCCTTTGTTCCCTGTCTTTTAACCAGTTCTCAACCCATAAAAGGATCTTCCCTCTTATCCCATGACAGCTTAATTTACATAAGAGCCTTTGGTGAGAAACCTTGTCAAAGGCTTTCTGGAAATCTAAGTACACTATGTCCACTGGATCCCCCTTGTCTACATGTTTGTTGAGCCTTCAAAGAACTCTAATAGATTAGTACAGGGGTGGCCAACCTGTGGCTCCGGAGCCACATGCAGCTCTTCAGAAGTTAATATGCAGCACCTTGTATAGGCACCGACTCTGGGGCTGGAGCTACAGGCGCCAACTTTCCAATGTGCCCCCCACTCCACCCCTACCCATGAGCCTGCTATGCCCTCGTTCCTCTCCCTCCCCCTCCGAGCCTCCTGGATGCCACAAAACAGCTGATCGGGAGGGATGGGGAGGCGCTGATGGGCAGGGTAGCTGGTGGGCGGGAGGCACTGGGAGCAGGCGGGAGCTGATGGCGGGGCTGCTGACATATTACTGTGGCTCTTTGGCAATGTACATTAGTAAATTCAGTCTCCCCCTCAGGCTCAGGTTGACCCCTTCAAAGAACTCTAGTAGATTAGTTTCAGAGTAGCAGCCGTGTTAGTCTGTATTCGCAAAAAGAAAAGGAGTACTTGTGGCACCTGAGAGACTAACCAATTTATTTGAGCATAAGCTTTCGTGATTTCCCTGTACAGAAACCATGTTGACTTTTGCCCAACAATTTATGTCCTTCTATGTGTCTTACAATTTTATTCTTTACTATTGTTTCAACTAATTTGCCCGGTACTGACATTAGACTTACTGGTCTGTAATTGCAAGGATCACCTGTCAAAGGCTATTATTAAATATTGGCGTTATATTAGCTATGTTCTCAATGTAAATATAACAGAGAAGGTGCAGGGATAGAGGGTGTCACGAAGTGTGGATTTTCCCTTGTTATGTTGTATGTGAGTCTTACTGTTGAGCCTATGTGAGTTTTACTGTTTTGCATGAATACTGCATGTGCCTCAGTTTTCCTGTGTGCTGCACCAATACCTCGGTAGTGGGAATAGGGATGTGTGACTTTGCTGAGACCTCTGGGGAGGTGAGGCTGCTCCAGCTGCCTGCACCTGTGCTATGACCAGTGTGTGACATTGCAGTCTGTAGGCTTTATGGAAATATGCTTATTAATATGACAACTGGAATATGCTTTACGCTAAATACCCCTTGTGTGGTGTCATTAGAAAGCTTGTAATCTACTAAGTGTGTTCATCCTATTTGTTTGCATGTATTATTTCTATATCTGGAGCTAGGAGAATAAGCTATAAAATTGTATCACTGATGTAAACATATTAAGTAGAGGCCATTAAGTGTGTTCCAGAAACAATCAGTTGTAAATGGCCTTAGTTACTTGAAAGCTTTCCTGTGTACGTGTGGGCTAGCCCATGGGGAATGGAGACTAGGGGTCTTACAGTGACATGTGATGTGACCATGTCACCTGGTACTGAAATCCATCTTAAATCTGGTACTTTTCCATTTAGAAGGAGGGGTGGGGACCCAGACAGACAAAAGATTCCCGCCTTGTGCCAAAGCTATAGAAGGGGGTGGAGCAGGACAAAGAGGGCCAGTCATGAGAAATCCCCTGCTTACCACCTGAGATGTCTGCTGGAACTAACACTACCTGTGGAAAGGTTTGAGAGTAGCAGCCGTGTTAGTCTGTATTCGCAAAAAGAAAAGGAGGACTTGTGGCACCTGAGAGACTAACAAATTTATTAGAGCATAAGCTTTTGTGAACTACAGCTCACTTCATCGGGGAGAGAATCACCCCACTATATTTTCCAATGTATGCATCGGATGAAGTGAGCTGTAGCTCACGAAAGCTTATGCTCTAATGAATTTGTTAGTCTCTAAGGTGCCACCTTTTCTTTTTACCTGGGGAAAGGATTGGGCCCAGACGAGGAAGGAGTCTAATCTGTGAAAGAAGCTTATTGGAACATCTCTGAGGAGGGGAGATTACCTGTCATCAGTTTCTTAGGCCAGGCCTACACTAAGGGGGGGATCGACCTAAGAATACAGGAATAGCGTAGCTGAAGTTGACGTATTTAGGTTGACTTACCTCGGCGTCTTTATGGGGTGGCAAGTCGACTGCTGTCGCTCCCCCGTCTACTCTGCTTGTGCCTCTTGCGGTGCTGAAGTGCCAGAGTTGACAGGAGAGCGCTTGGGGATCGATTTATCGTGTCTAGACTAGACACGATAAATCGACCCCTGATAGATGGATCGCTACCCGCCCTTAATGTATTAGGCTTAGACTTGCATGTTTTTCTTTATTTTGCTGGGTGACTTACTTTGTTCTGTCTGTTATTACTTGAAACCACTTAAATCCTACTTTTCATACTTAATAACATCACTTTTGTTTTTGTTTTTATATATATTTTTTATATGGCGATATACCTATCTCATAGAGCTGGGAGGGACCTTGAAAGGTCATCGAGTCCAGTCCCCTGCCTTCACTAGCAGGACCAAGTACTGTCCCTGACAGATTTTTTGCCTCAGATCCCTAACTGGCCCCCTCGAGGATTGAACTCCCAACCCTGGGTTTAGTAGGCCAATGCTCAAACCACTAAGCTATCACTCCCCCCCGTTTTCACTTAAAACCTGCAGTTTTGGGGGCGTGGTTCAGACCCTGGGTCTGTGTTGCAGCAGGCTCGCGTGTCTGGCTCAACAAGATAGGGTTCTGGAAGTCCCAAGCTAGCAGGGAAAACAGGCTCTGAGGTAATTTCAGATGTCAGGTGACAGTCCCAAGGGGGCATCTGTGACTGAACCAGTCACACGGTGCCCTTTGTAACCTGAGACCCAGGAATGGGAAGCAACCAGGTGACTCTGCCCAGGAAGAGAGACAAAAACAAGGAGGAGGAGCAATGGGGGTGTCTGACTTCGGGTCGCTGGAAGTTGGCAGTCTGCTTGGGGGGACTGGAAGAGGGGGAGTCCAGGGCATCTGGCCCATGACTCCCCAAGATGGACTTGGCTGAAAGTCACTGATTTCTGTGCCAACAAGTTCTGTTCTACGCTGTGTTCCTGTCGAATAATAAACCTTCTGTTTTACCGGCTGGCTGAGCGTCACTGTGGAGCTCGGGTGCAGGGCCCTCTGGCTTCCCCAGGAGCCCCGTCCGGGCGGACTCACTGCGGGAAGCACATGGTGTGGAAGGGGATGCTGAATACTTCGCGGTCAGACCTAGGAAGGTCGAAGTTGTGTCAGCTTCTTGCCCTGGTGACAGTGTGCTGAGAGAGAGGAGACATGCTCCCCCAAAGTCCTGATTGGCTTCATATGGAGTAGTTCCAGAGCATCGCCTGGTGACTCTGACTTGAGGGGAGAGTGTGTGTTTTCAAGCTCTGTGACACCTGAAGTGGGGAGTCGGAGGGATTCCCACCTTCCGAATTAGCCCAGCAGCGTTTCCTCTTTCTGAGCCATGTAGAACTGATCTCCACTCTCTACAGTTCCACCGCTCAATGTGTCCTATGATCCAGGGTTCTCAGCCCTCTGTTTGTGGATCACAGTTTGTTTTCTTTGCTCCTAAAACAGTAATTTAGGGCCTGAGATGGAAGTATCACAGACCTCGATGGAATAGCAGCCGTGTTAATCTATATTCTCAAAAAAGAAAAGGAGTACTTGTGGCACCTTAGCGACTAACAAATTTATTTGAGCATAAGCTTTCGTGAGCTACAGCTCACTTCATCGGATACATTCAGACCTGGATGGGGAATTTGAATGGATCTGAAATACAGTGAGATCATTTGGAGTTTAAATCCCAGTTTCCAACTGTTTGCAAAGCCTGTTGTAGGACTTTTCCTACTGAGATGGGATTGTTTGCAGATGGGGAGGCTGGCTGGTTTGTTTGTTTTTTTGTTTTTTTCCGTTACGACAATACTAGAACTTTTGTAAATAATATGACTCAAAACTAATGAGTGAAGGAGGTTTGAATGGCTCAGGAGAATGCAATGGGAGAATCTCTTGTCCTGATTCTGAGTCGTGTAGCCAATAGGACTAACCTGCTTGCTTGCATAGATATATTTTTTTTCGTATATGTTTAAGTATTTGGTTTATTGTAATAGGTTTAGAGATTTATATTAAAGTAAGCTTGGCTGTAACGCAAGAGACCTAAAGGCCGTATCCTGTATGTTAAGCTAAGGACAGTTAACACATCTATATTAAGATCATTTACCCAGAAAAAATAAAGTTAACCTATATCTTGTTACCTAAATAAATAAGTATTCACACATATGTCTATAACCTTCTATCTAGACCAACAGATAATGAAGAATGGCATAGGGTTTTTTTTAATGTACCCACAGACTTAACAGGTACATCACAAGGAAACTTAACATGCGTATATACGTGTCATCAATACGCACAAACCTACTAGCCTATGGGGTAAGTGTACCCTAATATTTGTGGGTGAGGAATAAAATTTGGGCATAGGAGGGAGGATTTCCGGCATTTGTGCCCTGTAAAAGAGGTCACCCACCTCGCTAGAGCACTTCACTCCACTCCACTTCATCATTTTCACTTACTCTGTCTTACACTCACTCTATCTATTCTATCTACAATGGCTACTACTATTGGTAGGCTATACTTGTTCTTTTTAAACTTTTAAGTTTCAAAGGAACTAGGCTAAGCTTGGTTTCCCTAAGCTTTTATTCTTAGTTTTCTTTTATTAGGGTTTAAGTTAGTCAAGTAAACCCTAAGTTAGCTCTTAGCATTAGTTTTTCTAAGTTCTGCATCAAGAATTGAGAAACCTGAACTGCAAGGCTGGACCTGTGTCTCTTACCCCCAGGTTATCAAGGAAGGGTGTGAGTGTATTGACCAAAGATTTGTAGCATATAGTACTATATTATCATATGTATCTTTTGAATAGCAGTAATGCAATTGTAACTTTGTAACTCTGGGTATTTTACCAGTTACTTACTATCATAAATTTTAATAAAAGCTCTTTAAGCCTATATCTGTCTCAGTGTGAGCTTTCTGTCATACCCCCGAGTGTCCTTAGTAAATTCCGTGAAGCCTAATTTGGAACAAAAACTTTTATCTTCTATTCAAACAAATTGGCAAGCCTAAAACCAATACTGTTAATATTGTTAATTAATAAGATAAAATAACATTAATTTAATTAATTTATTTTATATTAGCATACCCTAAATCAGGCCACAGTCATCATGTTTAACCTGCTCTGGAATTTCTAGTTATATGAAACTGGATGTATCTTGTGTGATGTGGGTTTTTCCTCTTCCAGGACATTTGGTCACAAAATCAGATGTTTATTTTATTTGGCAGACTGTAGCTCAGATTTCCTGGGGACTTTGCGAAAGTGACTATTTACTGAAATAGTCATTTCTTATTTTATTTTTGCTTTTTCTCTGCTCCCTCCATGGTGACATGGAGAAACTTCAAGTGCAGTTCAATCAACAGGAGAGACTACTCCAAGCTATTGGACGTGCTACCAACTGTTTTGAAATCTCCAGTCTGAAATGGCGAACTAGACCACACCCCAGCTTGTGCAACTAACTGAAGTGACTGCACACAATCACACTGCTGCTCGATTTGTTTTAGGTCAGTATTGTCTCATGATCTGGGGAGAGAATTCCACAGTAAGTAACAAAGAACTGGGCAAAAGGCCCATGTATTTGTTTCCCAAGGTAGTTTTGAAAGAGGCTCTCGTGACAGACTAACACCCATGTTCACACCCTACACCAGGGGTTCTCAACCTCTTTCTTTCTGAGCCCCCCCCCAACGTGCTATAAAAACTCCAAGGCCCAGCTGGGGTAGGCAGGCAGCTCGGGTCTCTGAGCTACAGCTGCTGGGTCGTGGAGGCTCGGGGCTTTTGCCCTGTGGAGAGCATTGGGACTCCAGGCTTCTTTCCTGCGGGAGGCGTGTGGGCTCTGGGCTTCATCCGCAAGGCCCTGAAGACCTCCTGAAACCAGCTCACAGACCCCCGGGGTCACGCTGCCCTACACACTATTGCAGTAATGTTTGTACAAGGTGTGACGCTGGCAGGGCAGGTTATGTCAGTGTATTCAGGCCAATTGATGTGTGTATTAGTATAGATCAAAGCGATTGTTAAATGTAGAAGTGTATTGGGTGCTTAAATGTCCTGAAACACTATAACAGGATACAGTAAGTTAATAGCAAACAGTTACATTGTGTAAACCCCTGTCACTAAATAACCCATCCAACGCCAATGAAGGTTTTTGGAATGCAAAGGAAGAAAAGGTTCATTTCAAAACCAGTGGTCGTAAGAAGCACGATTCCTGGGGTGTTTGCACTGTTGTTGCACAGGGTGGGAATGGGGAACTGGCCTCTGGCTTAAAGCGGTGTCAGGCTTAGAGGGGCTGGGTTCAGAGCTAGAGTTTAGGGTTAGGGTGAGGATTGGGCTATGGTTGGTTAAGGGGTTTAGGGTTGGTGACCAGGTTATAGGGTAAGGGTTCCAGTTTGGTTCAATTTGGGTTCTGGGTAGGGGGTGGAGTTGGGGTTTATATTTTGGGGGGAGAGTTTGGCCAGCAGCAGCATAGAAGTGCGGGTGGCAATGGAGTGCCAACCAATAGTGATTTATAAGTAGGGGTTTTTAGGTCATTTTAGTGTCAGTAGGACCCTAGGGAGGGGTAGGTTCATGTTTGCTACAGGGGACTAAAGTGTTGGAGAAGGGGTGGCAAGTTGACCCATCATTGTTAAGCTAAGATTTTGTCATGGTTATTTTAATAAAAGTCATGGACAGGTCATGGGCATTGAATCTCTGTGATCATGTATAGAAAGATCTGTTTCTCCATGTGTATCTTCACAGCAGGATTGTTACATCACAAACTACTAAACATGTGGGAAGAGGGGGCAGGTTCCTCCCCTTTCCCTTCACTCTGAACCACCTGTACCGTGCTGGAGGGGAGATAGCCCAGGACTTCTGCAGGTCCCCTTTTGCCCCAGCTCTTTACTGAGATGTCACAGCAGGGGCAAGGCACTAAGCAGGGGGTTGGATCGAGGGGAAAGGGGTCCAGGGGTGCACTGTGAGAGATGTAGGGTGTCTTCGCCTACCTCGCTTCTTGGACTTTGGAGGTGGTGTGGAGATGGAGCGTTTTGTGCTGTCTTCCACCGTGGAGTGAGGAGCCAGAAATTTCTAGCTGCTCAGGGGTGGGGGGAAGCACAAGCTGCTCTGAGAAGTGCCCCCAGTGTGTGCAACAGCACGTCACCGAGGGAGCATCCCTGAGCTGTGCTGCCCGGGGGTGCAGCCAACCTCTCGATGAGGGGGATGGGTGACCCTCCCCCCAGGACTGGGGACAGTCGGTTACAGGGGGGCAGCCTTAGCCATTCTCCCCCTTGGCTTATGTGTCTCAGTTTCCTCCTCTGAAACCATGTCACCTCCTGCTCCTACCCCACCCCAGGCACTAGATAAAGACCCCTGACCCCTCTCATTCCCTCTCCCCGGGACACCTGCACCCCCCATCTTGCACCCCCCATCCTCCTCATCCAAAATCCCCTCATCTACCCTTGCCCCTGCAACCCTCCTGCCCCTGCCCAGGTCCCCTCGGCGGGTACTAAACCGACCTGCCCCCACTTCACCCCAGCTGGGCCTCACCCCAACTCCCCCTCCCAGCAGTGCAGGGAGCCCTAATCCCTCTGCTCATCCCCCGGTCCCCTTCCCCCCCCAAGCCACAGCACACCCATTGCCTTGTGCCCAGCTGAGGCCACTAGGGGTGCCACTGCATCCCTACACCCCAACCCCAGTTGCCAAGATGGTAACTTAAATGTTTTTCCCCATGTGCTGGGTTTAGGGAGAAGAAGTCACGCATCAGAGTCTACTGCCCTCATGCGATGGGAAGGGAGCCAGAGCGACAAGACCGCAAGAATTGTTGATGCCGGGCAAAAGCCGTCCATCTGGGAGCAGAACAGCCGCCACTCTGTGAGATAAGTGTCAGGTTGTGAGCAGAGCAATCACCAAACCAGTCTGGGTCCAGGTAGGGAAGCCACATTGACTGGGGCTGGGTTTGTAAGAAAAGGATCCTGACGAGCTGTGGTTACGAGGGAGACGAGGTCCCCAACTTCAGGGGTTGCTCATTTCTCTGACCAGGAGTCATGTGTCCTCCGCAGCAAAAGGTTGGATCTAGTAGGACGACTTACCTTCCTCCAATGTTTTACTTCCTCCCTCCCTCCCTCTCTCTCCTGTAATGTGTTGGCCAACTCCCTCACTCGCCTCTCCCAGTGTCACTCTTGCAACATGAGGGAAACACTTGTGCATTCCCCGGAATGGCCACCCAATGTCACTGTTGCTCCATAAGGGAAATGCTTTGTGCATTACAGCAAGTGGCCACCTGGTTTCACTGTCCCTTGATGAGGGAAATGGTTTGCGCGTTACCTGGATTGGCTTCACTCTTGCTCCAAGCGAGAAATGCTTAGTGACCCCAGGTGGTCACTTGAGGTAATGCACACAGCATCTCCTTCAGTGCTCCCCACCAGGACCCATTCCACATCTTCCAACCTGCTCCCGCATCCCCAGGCTTGCCAACACTCCGCTCACCCCACCTCAAGCTGACCCCTTTACCTGGACTTTCCCTTGGCCCTCCTGATCCACCCCATCTGCTTCTCCATCTCAGGGCACCCCAACATCCTCCATGACACCCCATCCCTACACCCCAACCCCCTCCAACCTAGTTCTCCATTGCTGGGCCCCACTTTCCCAGCTCCGCACTCCACCACGCCATCCACAGCCTGCCAGGTTTCCCTCTCCAATTCCTGTTCCCTCTCAAATCTGCCGGGTTCCCCTTCCCAGCCACCGTGGGGACCTCCAACCCCCGTCCACCCTGCCCTTACTCCAGAGGTGGGCAAACTACGGCCCGTGAGCCACATCAGGCCTGAGGGACCCTCCTGCCTGGCTCCTGGCCTGGGAGGCTAGTCCCCGGCCCCTCCCCTGCTGTTCCCCTTCCCCCGCAGCCTTAGTGCACTCCGGTGCGACACTCTGGGTGGCCACTGGTGCTCCAGGCAGTGCGGTAAGGGGGCAGGGAGCAGGGGCGGTTGGACAGAGGGTAGGGGATTTGGGGGTGGTGGTCAGGGGCAGGGGTGTGGATAGGGGTCGGGGTGGTCAGAGGGTGGGGAATGGGGGGGTTGAATGGGGGCAAGGGTCCTGGGGGGGCAGTCAGGATGGAGAGAGGGGGTTGGATGGGGCAGCGGGGGGCGGTCGGGGATCAGGGGTCCTGGGGGGGCAAGTCAGGAATGGGAGGGGTGTTGGATAGGGTGGCAGGCAGCAGTCAGGGGTGTGGGGTTCAGGGGTGGTCAGGGG